AGTTCCTCTCCAGACATGTTTTTGAACTATGTCAAAATACTTTATTCTACTACTCTACTCTCTGCTATGATTAATGTTTTGTTTCACGTGGTTTTCCCACGTAAAAGTGACGAAAAAAAAGGAAAACCAGGGCTGGAAGTGCATCTACTTCCTCACTGAGAATTCTGGATCAGGCGTTGTGCCTCCCCATTGTTACAGGGTCAGATGTGGGCTGGCAATATTTTTGACAGATTTGATTTTCAAGTGGGCCATGAATTGGAAAAAGTTAGGAACCACTGCACTAGACAAATTCAAAACGCTTTGCTGCTGCAGCTGACCCAGAATCTAAAAGTAAATATAATTGAGCTGCAGATCGTATTATCAGTTTCCAGGATGCCAGAGTCCGTCCTGACTGGCACACATAATGGAATTTAACGCTGTGGGACAGTGTCTGGTTCTTACACTGAAATGTTGAGTTTCAAAGAAACAGATATTTTCTATCTTTGGAACCAATGGTTCAACAATGAGAGTGTTACGTTCAGAAAAGCTCTGACTGTCACTCACCTGATATTATCTTTGCAGACAATGAGGCAGGAATTTACTTACAGGTGCCCCAGATGCCCAGAATTACTCCTACCACTTTGAAACTGTATTTAGGTTGAAGTTTTCTAGTGGTGTGTAATTTTACTTTCTGTATTTTATTTTTATTTTTTTTCACTATGTTGGATCATAATGAAAACATTAAGCATTATTCCTACCCACTGCATTTCACAAGAGTATGTCATTAATGTTCAAAGGCTTGTATGTCATTGAAATTTATTTTTTTCAGGTTAGAGAACGTTCAAAAACACACAGGTAATGAAAAAAAACTGTTTTTTCTTTTCTTCACTCCTGAATGAAAACATATTTTTACCAGATGTTGTTAACACTGTTATCTTAAAAAAAAAAAAAAATGCCAGTACGGCTGAATCCAGGCCTGAATCCAGTACCTTCTGTTCTCCCAGATAATATCAGACAGAATCAACAGAGATGACCTGGAGTCAGAACACTGGCTGCTTTTTTTTTCCCCAGGAGCTCTTGCTTTTTCTTCATGCTCTCATTAGAATATATATATACATTTGTATAGACAGACACACACGCACATATATATATATATATATACACGTGCGTATATATATATATATATATATATATTGTCTGCCTGTGCTGCCCTTAATTGCATTGCATATCTCTGTGTTTATCTGTCTACTCATCTCTATTCACACACAGTATGTTGTTGACCCTCCCTCCTCTACTGACCTGTGACCTCTACCCACCTACACATCCACACAGCACATTTAAATGGTTTTAAAAGGAACTGTGTTTTATATGGAAAAAGCATGAAATGGATATACAGCACATTACATTCTGTAGCTGCAGCCACTGTTCTTGTTTAAGGCTTCAACCAATCATGTTTCATCACTGATTAATATATTGATTGTTTGTTGATTTATTAATAATTTAACCAATATGATGCCAAAACTAAAAAAAAATTAATACCATCATAATTCCACAGAACTCAAGCTGACTTTGTCAAATTGCTTCAATTTGCTTCAATTAATGATGATATAAAATAGAGAAAAGTAGCAAATCCTCACACAGGTGGAACTACCAAAGAATAGTTGGGGTTTTTGATAAATGAATTATAGACTTTCTGTCAATTGACAAATCTATTCATTGTTTCAATTGTTTCAGCACCACCTGGTGGGAGATGTGGATAAAATCTCCCACCACCACCAAGTCAAACCAATTCACTTTACGTAATAATTAGCAGGATTAAGGTTAATATTTTAAATACCTTGTACAGAATCACCAAGAGACGAATGTTAGGGAAGTACATGATTAAACTCAAGCAAATGGGCCGTCCAATCAATACACACTGCGCCACCACCTCTACAAAATCTCCCAACCCCAAACGCATCCATCCAGATCTGATCCTACTGAAGAACCGAGACGTTCAGCCAGTGATGGTGGTCAGTAGATTACACTTTGACTTTGTTACCCTTGTGAAGACGGAGAACTCTTGTAACATGTTTCCAAATTTTTTGCAGTCAAACTTTTTCAAAAGGAAAAGCCACATAGATCGTAGTTATTGCATTGGAGAATTGATATTGAATCATGACACAGAGAATCAAAATTGAATCTAATCGAAGCACGAGATTCCCAAAGATTCCCAATCCTCCTTTATATTTTGCCATGGTAAATGTTCTGGGGCCAGTTGCACAAAACACCTCGGGTTAAGATTTTCTGAGTTAAGGTGTCCTTAATTTAAATACAGTTGCACAAAACAACCTTAAGTCTAAAGGTTTCCTTAAAATGTTCACTCGAGTATTTAGGGGTTTCTCCTTATCTTGGTCTGTTACTAAAGGAATCACTTGAAGTCAGTTAAACTGTTCAACAAAAGACCTTAGCACCAAAATAAGGGTAAAAACTAAAGGTACCTCTGACTCTAACTGCAACATGACTGAGGTTATGGAGAAAAATGAAGAAAATGCACACAGCCCAAGAGGAGGGGGAGAACCCAGTGGCACCCTTAAACATGAGGAACTGATTCTACATCACAGGTTAATGATTTGTCTGAACGTCTAGCTCAATGATTGCTCAGAAGTGCTAATGGTGGCAAGTCAACGGTCTCCATGGAACTGCTGTAAAATCTCTTTCACTGTTGCAAATGCCTTTCAAACTTTTTTCCTTAACTAAGGAAACGTTTTAAGAGATTCTGTGCAACACCCTTAAGTAACTCCCTCAGCTAAGGAGAAATTAAACCCTTAAGGTGTTTTGTGCAACTGGCCCCTGGAAATTAAATTTAGAAACTGTTTATGGATCAAATATTAGGTAGTAAAGGTGTAAGTATAATCTCTATAATATCATGTATTATCCTATATCTCACCCCATAGTTTAGGCTACTACTTTAAATGAGCATCTCAGTGTACAGCTCACGATCATTTACAAATACACTATGGACACATTTACACCAAACTCCACTGACCTTATTAGGAATTTCCTGTGAGAATAAAGGAATAAAGAATGGTCTAAATGTCAGTGAGAAAAGCAGCCAGCAGAAATTAAAGCCTAAGTTCCTTCTGAAGTGCCTTTGAGCAAGAGAGGTACCGAATCCCCACCAGAAGATAAGTGGGCAAAGAGAGAATTGAGGATTTGCTAAAGAATCTGCAGGGTTTTCTGGGTACTTGGTGCAGCAGCGTTCTCCAGTTAGGTAATTAAACCACATTCGTTTTGGGTGACGTGAACATTTTGACAGCCCCCGTCTGCTTTTAGTCAAAGGAGGCTTATGGGAAGAGAGACAGAGAGCACTTCCACTGTTTATCCTGTGGGGTGGATCAACATGGGAAAAGAGCAGATCATGTGTGAGGGACTGAAAAAAAAGTGGGATAATAGCTGGAGGATGGCTTGACAAGAACAAGCAGACAGTGGGAGATTATTTCCACAAATGATCTTAATTAATGAAAATAGAAATGCCAGGGGACAACTTCAGCTGCCTCTCACATTTATTCCACACAGAAACAAGCTTTCACTTATAAATTAGGCTTAAGGCTTTTTTCTTCTCAGTTAATCGTTTTGTCTATAAAATGTCAGAAAACAGTAAAAAAAAAAAACCCTGTTAAAATCCCCCAGTCTTTATAGATTTTAAGATGTTCAATTTGTGATGATATAAAACAGAAAAAAGCAGAAAATCCAAATATGAAAAAATACTGAAACACATAATCGCTTATCAAAATATCAGAGGATTAATTTTCTTCCTCATGGAATATTCTGCTGATTATTTAATGTCACGATTTCATTAATCATCATCAGTTTCCTGAGGTTAAATATCTAAATAGCATGTGTTGTCAAACTTTATGATCAGTCACAAACAAGCAGCAAATCCTCACATTTCAGGAGCTGTTGGCTTGAAAAAATGATTTAAGTGATTAATAAAGTAATTAAATGAATTTCTGTTAATTGACTAGCTGATTGGTTGATTGGTCATTTCAGCTCTAAGTATAGTTTGGTTGGAATAATTGAGCTTAAACTCTCACATCATACTTAAATTAATTACAGTTGGAACAATTAGTTGATTAATTGATCAGTCACTTGATAGAAAATGAGTTGAAAAGGTCATTTTTGGGGGTAAAAATGCCCATAAAATCAGTTGTTGCAGCTTCTCAGATGTGAAATTTTAGTAGTTTTCTTCTCTTCTATGATAGTAAACTGAATATCATGAACTAAATAAGACTAGGGCTCCTACTTATGATTATTATTATCATTAATGAGTCATTAATTAGTCCATAAAACGTGAATGACAATAATAAACAAATGTCAATCACAGTTTTGTCTAAATCTCTCTAAACATACTGACTGATATTGAATATAAGACTGAGAAAAAAAATAGCACAAACTCAAATCAAAACAACTAATTTTTGCTTTAAAAAAATGTCTTCAATGTTCAATCGATTATCAAAATAGAGTCAACTCATCGGTTCAGCTGCAACAAGGACACTTAAGATGTCATTTTGGGCTGTGGGAAACTGTGATGACCATTTTCATTATTTTCTGACATTTTATAAATGAACAAATCAAGAAGCTAATGAGAAAAACTGATTATGAAAATCATTACTTGCTAATACTTAATACTTAATTATCACAATTATAGGATACTTACACTAAAACAGCAGAAAACAAAAGGACATAAAGTGGGATAACTTCCAACTTTGTACCAAAAAGGTCAATTCCATATCATTAAAAGATTATTAGCAATATAAATATGATTGTCTCTATAATTAAGTTCCCACTTATGTCACCTTGAAAATGTGTTTTTTCTAATCTGTATAAATTCAGTTGAAGCTTTTGTCATACTGGCATTCTGAGATAGAAAATACAGTTAATATTCAGTATCATTTTTTTTGTTGTTGTTTTTTTTTTTTTTTCTGAATAATTTCAGTCACTCACAACATCGAAGTAAAAAAACTAGGACAGAGACTCACCAGGAGCAGACACGTCGAGAAACACAAGGTGACCAAGAGCAAACTTCTCATCTTTAACCCTCAGGTAGACTCAGGAGGAACTGGTTAAAACAGGAGCCCGGACTTCATTTAAACTCCACTTCAGAGTTTTTCATCCCGTCTTCAGGATCTGAGCAGTTTTTTAATTCCATGAAGAAGAAGAAGAAGAAGAAGAAGAAGATGAAGAGGGGGAAAAAACACACAGCCACTGATGTCCTGTATCCACACTGGTCGCTTCCACTGAGCTGAATGTGCAGAGAGATCAGTTTCCCGCAGCTGACTTCCACTGTCAAGGACACGACGACGAGCACAGACACTTCCTGTTCAGACTTTCAAAATAAAACATTTATTGGGGCTCATAATAATATAGAATCAATGTACAGCAATATCCAATTCAGTTCTATTTATTTATTGTTTTATTTATTTTATGAGTTTATAATTAGAGTTAGGGTAAGGGGCTAGGGAATGCATTATGTCAACAAGTGTCCTCACAAAAAAGAAGTACACGTGTGTGCGTGTGTGTGTGTGTGTGTGTGTGTGTGTGTGTGTGTGTGTGTGTGTGTGTGTGTGTGTTTGTGTGCATTTGCGTGTTCCAAGTATTACCCATGTTGTGTGGACTTAAATCTGGCTATACAGTCACATTGCCTTGGACTTGTTTTCCTTATGGGGACAAAAAGCAAGTCCCAATAAAGTGAATCATTAAATCAGGATAAGGTTAGGTTGAGGTTCAGGTTAGCGTAAGTCTCCATAATAGCATGCTTGTATACAGTATATCCAGCATGCAACTTACCCTTGTAATGTTGCTTTTAAGTTGTATGTAACCTTTTTTTAATCTTACACAAACAGTTCTTTTATTTTTACTTTTATGCTTATTATTCTACCCTGTTTTATTACATGTTAAATGTTCACCAAAGCACTTAGACGTGCATTTTATCTACGAACGATGCAATGATGAGGGAGGCAAACTGACAAAAAGCTTCAAAGGATATGAAGCCAGCCTCAGTTGTGCCTTTCATGTTTTAACATTAATCTCAACCCAGCAAACCACAAATCAACTCAAAGTGTCTGCACAATAAAAAGTGCCCAAGCTGTGACATCATTTTTGAATCCAAGCAAAGGATCTATGAACTTGTAGTGGATATAAACCAAAATGAAAAAGCTTACACATAGTTATCCAACTCTGTCTCCTAAAAATACGTTTATATACAACCAAACTACCACCGCATATATTTTGTAGGAAATGTAATGGCTGGAGAATACTCAGAGGCAACAGCACATATATTGACAGCAGTCAGTGGATGGTGTTCATACACGGCACAACACTGTCACATCAGAGACTAGGTTTCACATCCACAGTCCCGTGTGGTTATGGTTAACAAAAGCACTTTGGTTAAGATTGAGGAAAGATGTGTTTTGGTGTTTGATGTGAAAGTGTTTTGGTCAAATGTAAATTCAAACGTTGTGTCTGAAGCATAGACTGTGAATAAAGATGGACATAGGCTCAGTGAAGTCAACCACTCGTTTCTGAAGAGCATTTTTGAAGCTCAGAGAGAGCTGCTCCACCTCCAGGCTGTAGACATGTTTATTTCTGCTGTAGAGTTAAGCATTTTAAAATGGGAGTCTATGGGGTTTAACTTGCTTTTGGAGTCAGCCTCTAGTGGTTATTAAAGGAAATGCAGTTTTTGGCGCTTCCATGTTGGCTTCATTCTTCAGCCCCTGAGGTTGCTGCTTGGTCTGAAGTCACTTAACTTTTTTCTGTATTAAACCAGACCACAATCTTTCCCTGACTTTAACCAAAAGAGTCTCAATACAACCATAAAAAAGTTTTTTAAAAAATGTAAATTTACAGTGTCTTCATTCATTAATAGAAAATGTAATTTGGCCACAATTATATTTCCTACAAAACATATTTGCTGTCACACTTTAGTTATATATAAACATAATTTCTCAGAGAAAAGATTGATTTACCTATACCAATGTTACTCTCCATTCCTAAATATCTTCATACACAATTTTTTTTGTGTTGTACAAAATGAAAAAGGTAACACCTCTTTTCTGGCAACTGAAATGATTCACCACAGGAGACTCAACGCTCGTGAACTGACTCAGTAATGTCAGTAAGACAGCATTATCTACTTAAAAGTTGGTAAGCTACTGGTCATACCAGATCAAATAAGGCTGGAGCTGCAAAACCTCTCAGTGTGTATATGCTACTGCTTATGAATTCAGCTTTTCATTTGTAAGAGGAATAATATGTTATTGCTTCTTTCAGAAGTGACACAGTCTCACTTTAATGGTCCAAATAACTTGACTACAGGTACAGCAAATGTTTTTAAAAGGAGGGGAATGACTTCAACTTTCTGACAGTTGGACCAAAACCCAAACTTTAATGATTTTTCTGTCATCCAAAGGTTTCATTGTTGTCTTAGAAAATTGACTTGACTGCTTAGGAAATTCCTTTTGGAGTCATCTCAGCCTAGAATAATTGGGAATGACTGAAAGTAAAAAGGTTTTAAATAAAGTAAATAGAGTACGTGCCCAGCGGACAATAACCTGAGCAGACAAATGCCCACAATTCAAACCACACCATCTTTTGCGCACAGCCCCTTTCTAACCAGTGTCTACCAAGAAGCTGGTCTGAAAATATCATTACCACTGTGCAATGTTTAAATAATTTGACTCTGACACCGAGTTTGTCCAGTTCTCCACTGCTCTATAGGACTGTCTTCAATACAGTTTGTACCTCAAACACTACAACCCTGAGTCTTCTGGTGCAGACAGTGTTGTTTTGAACGGTGTGTTTTTGGTATATCACAGAGGGGTAATACATTTCCACATGAACTCATTGCTGCATTGGGTAATGATTGAAGTTTTCTGTCACTTCACCAGCAATTTCCCCAGAAAGCATCTATTCTTTCTTCAATCCATGTTCAGAGCAGTTTTGACCCCTGGCTCCAGTCTTTTAAGACTTTATAGTATTATGGTGGGGTTGTCAAAACATAACATTTCCAACAGGTCCTCGTACCAAGTGAACAAAACAGGTTGTTTTTCACTGCCTTACAAAACATTTTATATGAGACCAGGCAAATTATTGTCATCAGTAGACTGTATTTGCGCAGTTATTATGGAAAGTGTAGATGTTCAAATTTCCCTTTTTTTCTGGAGCTCTGTAACCATAACTGTACACAAGTGAATTAAAAGAACAATTACACTTCTACACTACACTTTCTGGGGAAATTGTTGGTGAAATAACAGAAAACTTCAACCATTATCTAATACAGCTATTAGTTTATGTGGAAATGTATCACCTATCTTTGATGTACCAAAAACACAACATTCAGAACAACACTGTCTGCACCAAAAGACTCAGGGTTGTAGTGTTTGAGTTACAACCTGGATTGAAAACAGTCCTATAGAGCAGTGGAGAACTGGACAAACTCAGTGTCAAAGTGTGTGTGTACATATATATATATATATACACACAGTATATACGTATTAAGGGCCATGTTGGTATCCCAGCTGGTTAACTGCCAGTGTGGCCAATGGGACTGAATTGATTTCCTGAAATTAAGCTTTAATACAAATTCAAGAAACAACTGTCAGCCATCCTTATCTTGTCATCAAACTAATGGTTCCACCTGTCCACCGTTATCCAATAGTTTTTATCATCCAATAATCGCCGTCCAAAGCTCACATCAGTTTGGATGGATGGATGGGTCAACAAAACACAGGAAGTTGACATAGGAGACTGGTGTTCGGTTCCTGTGTGAAACTAGCAGTTTATATTGTTTCTTTTACCCATGACCGTTCGACAAACTTATTGTAACCATGACAACAAAGATCATCAAATCTTAAGGAAGTGCTTATTATAACCCAAACCACAATCTTTTTTCCTAAACCTAACCAAGTAGTTTTTGTGCCTAAACCTAACCAAGCCAAGACAGTTTATTATTGTAACCATGACAACCAAGGTCGAGTACGCCTGCTGCACTATTTCAGGAGATTCTCCTATGGGTTGTATCAGAGGGTTGAAACAAATAACCTGTATGGTTGGTCAGGTTGGATGAGCTGATGAATATTTTAATGTTTTCTTTTTACACTTTTGACCACATAAATAGACAAGTTAAAAACAAACGTATTGTAACTTCACTTTGACCGTGAAAAATGTCAGGCATTAGTGTTTGCACTGCAGTGAGTGTTTCAGATGTTCAGATCCAGTTTGAGAGTGTAGAAAGTGTCTCTGACTGTCAAATAAAGGTCAATGAACTGTCTGAAGAAATATACTATATATGACAGGTTGTCCGTGAAATGTCACTTCAAACCCCGAGACGACGCTTCTTGATTCAGTGACTAATAGAAAAACAGAACTACATACATACACGCACACACACAGAGACACCACCTCCCACACACACTCACAGCCACGTACATGGTTTCTGTCCCGTACAGTAAACTCATGAGAGCGGAGCGAGGATTAAGTGGCACGTATTTACACAAAGCCAGAGGCCATCAGCTGCCCCGCTGTGGGCGAAAATGTCAACACCACATTAAAATGTGCAGACAGAAAAACTTAAAGCAGTCGCTCCTCATCCAGCTGCTTCATGTGTTTTATGGCTTGTGTATAAAGCCAAATTTAAACAATGTGCTGGTGTGAGCATACTCTAAAACAGAATGTACTCATCCTCATCCAAACAGGAGACTTTTATTTTTCATTTCTTAATTTTGTTATTTATGATTTGTATGCAGGGAGAATATCTGGGGCCAGGGTGTGGTAGAACTCACACAAAACAAATGATTAGAATTAATTAAAGTATGATTAAGTTGATAAATTAGCTCTTAAAGTTTCATCTGTCTTTTTGTGGACATGAATTATTTGATTGAAAGACTTGATCTGATAAAGACGGAGACATTATTTAATAAATGAGGCTTCATTTATCTCACTAATTAACAATCCAGTTTGTTTCGGTGTCCTGCCACAAGAGAAGAAATTGAGAAGTGAAAACATGTCAGTTCTCTCAAATCATAAACATCAAGAGTTTTTTGATCATTACGTATGAACAGTGGTGCTACTCACCGAACAGATTTCATGCAGCTCTTTCT